TTAACCCTCTACCGCACGCATTATGATAGACCTATAGAAAAAAATATTTGAATCTTTTTATTTTCTAAGAATGGCTGAACTTGAAGTGCTGTAAAAATTTTCGAGAATGTTCTCTTAAAGAGACAGTGGCAAGGAAATGAACACAAGGAGTATGTTGCCATATGGCTACACCATGCGGTAGAGGGTTAAATGATAAAGTAGAGTCCTTCCCTTTGCTTATTTATATGTGTGCTTATGCCAGAACTTAACCCTACGTATGTTTGACTGTCTGTATAGGATTGTGTCTACATGTATATACAAATGTGCATGTGTGCAACTTAATCTTAACCCTTTCTTTGACTGTTTGTATGCAGTAGAGCTGTGTGTGGTTGTACATATATGTGCATGTCTATGTCGGAGCTTAACCCTGTGGGGGTGGCTGCTGGTTTTTGGTTATCAGCCTCTCTGGACTCTTCCCAGCAATCGCTTTCTATTGATCGAGCTGTGCGCCCATCGGTGCCGGCCAGATTAAGAGTATAGATTTGCAATAAAAGAAGGACATTACTGGGCAGCCTGGGTAAAATTGAAAAAAATGATGAGCTCTTGGAAGTGGAGATGAGTCAGAGGCAGAAGAGAAGGGTGTTAAAGAGGCAGATTTTATGTACGTGTGTTAGAGACACATTACAGGCGGATACTGTACATGTATGACATTATACACTCAGGACTGGGAAGTCTTTAATGTGCTTTAATATGGAATATCAAGAGGAGTGATGCAACTATTTTATTGATTATTCATTTTTAGAGTAAAAATTTGAAGTCGCTTTTAGTCGTCACAAAAGCATAATTTTATTATCACATGAAATGTGATAGTTCACCCAAAAATGTAAATTCTGTCATCGATTACTCACCCTCCACTTGTTCCAAACCTGTACGAGTTTTTTTCTTCTGCTGAACAAAAAAGAAGATATTTTGAAAAATTTCAGTTGACGGTAGCCATTGACTTCCATAATATTTTTTTTTTCCATACTATGTAAGTAAATGGCTACTGTCAACTGCTTTGTCACCAACATTCTTAAGAATATCTTTCAACAGCTAAAGCAACTCATCCAACTTTGTGGTGAGTAAATGATGACAGAATTTTCATTTTGAATCATTTTTAAGAGGTTTGCCATACTGTATATTGTTTTAGGTTGAATTCATATTAGGTCTGTCCGTTATGCAGGTATGTTTTAGTGCATGTGTATGTGTGTGTTTTATGTGTGAAATATGAAAGATCATGGTGTGTTGTAGGGGCAGGTGGCCCATTTGGCTGGTTCAATATTTCAGTATATCCTGTCCCTCACAGGGGGACTCGTCTTGCTTCCCATTCCGCTCTCATACACACTTCTTTGGAATAGAGAAGAAACAAGAGTATGAATAGAAAGCGAGAGTGATTTTTGAGCATTCTGCAGTGGCACAACTGTAGCCCTGGTGGTGGCACTCTGATAAAAACAGTGACAGATGCAGGTGAAATGAGGCCAGTCGCATGACGATGTGCAGCGTAAAGTTCCCATTGCAATTCTAGAATGGTCATCTCTCATTAACCCTGAGTCTATTGAGCCATTTTTACCCAAAGCACCCCCATCAACTGAACACAATCATTCCTGCGCTTTTAGCCTACACTCTAAAATATATTATGTTTTTGCACTTTTTTGAATAGTAAAAGTAGATAGATGACGGGAGAATGGGATAATGACGTGTTGCGGGTCCAATTCAAACCTATACCGCCCACAGAAGTGCCACATCTCAGCGTGTCTTGGGAAATGACGCTGATACATATCATATCTGACAATTTCAGCACTAATCTTGCAGCCACAACCTAATGCAAACGTGTCTTTTTATCTTTGCCGTAACGCGATGATGACCTTGAGTGGCCAACTGAGAGGATTGAAGGGAAATACGGCAGGCGCTGTTTGTGCTGTAGACCTCTCCTCTTTCATGCGTGCTATCCGTTTCAAATCTCGCTACACCAGCTACACAGCCAGGCCTGCAAATAGAAAGCCACACAACCACAAGCACCTTCCCTCTCGGTTCTGTTGTTACAGTCTCACCCTCTGCCGCACAGAAGCCTCCAACAGAAGGTTAACTCACTGTAACTTATCTGGAGCACCAACATCCTCATGGACTATATATATATATATATATATATATATATTGTATATATATTATTGTGTATAAATTATTGTATGTATGTATATATTTATTTATTTATTAGTTAGTTAGCATAAAAACATACATATTGTTTTTGTTGTTGCTTTTTTCATAAAATATTTAATATATTATTTTTTCATTGTTTTTTTGATTGTTGTTAACTCACTGTAACTTATCTGGAGCACCAACATCCTCATGGACTTGGATGTTTACTGGCTTGTTGTTGCAGTATCATCCATGTGTGCCACATATGAAGACTTTCCTTTTAAAGCTGCAGAATTGTTAGTTAGTTCAATCCTAAATGCATCCAATATT